ATTCTAAAGTAATATCGTTATTTGGGTATATTTCATTTTGTGGGTCTTTCTTCTTTATTTTAATTTTGTTATTAGAATCAAACATGATTTTATTTGTATTGATTCTGACATTTTCATTCTTATTAAATTTAATTCTTTCTTTAATCATCGTCATCATATATTTTAGGTACTTTATTCTTTCTTGTGCTTTCATTTTAATTTCATCTGCATCTTGTTCATTTAATCTCATGATGCATTTTATTCTGTACCATTCCATTGATTAGATATTCTAATCTATTTATTTTCCTTAGGATTTCTTTTATTTCATCAAATTTATCTCCTATAAATTTATTTTAGAGATAATAATGCATACACATTGAAATCATTTTCATATCTTCTTGTAGATTTTCTATTCTCCTGACCATACCCATTTATTATTTATTTCTCTTATTAATTTATCTGATTCTTTCCTTCTCCAGTAATAATTAATATTTACACATTTGTCTATTTTCATTTCTTTAACTTGATTGATGATAGAGTTAAGATATTCATTATCAATATCAATAGAGTTATTTTTTATGATAATGTTTTTTATTATTGAATTACACTCTACTTTATCTTCTATGATGGAGTTCATTTCATTTTAATATATCTTTTAGTTGTTTATTTTATTCTATGTGACTTTTTAATATTATTAATGTATTCTTTATCATTATTTACATTATTATTTATTATTTTTATTATGCTTTCTATTTGTTCCCATCTTAATTTCTCATTTAATTTCTTATTTAACCAATTAATTACAAAACAATACAACACATCAATTAAATTTCTATTTGTTTGATTTATTGTGTTTTCTTCTCTTCTTGACTGATTGTCATTTCTTGTTTTTTGATACTCAGTGTTTTGCTCTCTTCTTCTTCTATTTCCAGAATTGTCTTTTTCATAGGGGTAGTTTTGTTCATTTATATTGTCCCAGATGATGATGTTCTCAGTATTTGTTGGTACTTATCATTAATACCATTGTTTTCTTCTTCTCCAGTTCCTTCTGGGATAAAAAATTTTCGATATTTTCTTGTTGTTTTGATATTATTTGTTTTTGTTCTTCATTTTCTCTTTGTGTATTGTCTAGTTCTTTTCTTGTTATTTCTGCAATCTCATAGTTTTCAATCGCAGTTTTTTGATATACAGAGATTTGATTTTCTTTATCTCTTATGTTTTTCTTCAACACACCATCAATTTCTTCATTTCATCCTTCTTCATCCTCTCACAGCTAGCTCGGAGGGTGAGGACGATTTCATCCTTTCTTCCTAATTCAATGTTCCTTCTACCATTTGTTTCATTTATTTTTCATTGTAATGAATTATTTTATTATTTTAATTTAGAGTTTTCTTATTTCATTACATGTGTTTTGAATATTGTTTATTTGTGTTTGAATATTTTCTATTTCTTCTTCAATCTCTTTTCTAACTGTATCTCATGCTTTTTGAATCATTTCATCTGAAATGGTTCGTTCTTATTCATTCTTTTTTGTTTGAAGTTCTTTAATAGTTTCTTCTATTTCATTGATTTTATTTTGAAGTGTGTTAATTTCTTATTTGTTGCTTTCTTCTTCCTTTTTCTCTTGTGTTTTTTATTTATGTTATTTTTCATTTATTATTATTGTAGTTTTATTTTATTTCTTTGTTTTTTGTTTTTGATTCATTTTTCATTTATTTTAATATCATCATTTGTCCAATCTTTTGTTTTATCTTTGATTTCTTCTTTGTTTTTCTCTAGTGTTTTCTTCTTTCTTATTGAATATACTTCTTGGAGAATATTATACATTTTCTTTACCTTCATACTTTTTAAGTAATTCTGAATTCATTTCTCAATTTCACTTCTTATTCTTTTATTTTTCATTTCAATTTCATTTATTGTTAATAATTTAGATTTCTTATTTGTATGATGTTTATTATCATTATATTTACTTTGTTTCTTATTTGTTTTTATTTGTATTCTTCTTTTTTAATCACTTTTCTCTTGTTATTTCTTTTATCATTATTATTATGCATTTTATTGTTATTTCATTCATTCTTTGAACTTGAATACCTGTTTGTTGTTTGATTTTCTTTACAAGACTCTATGGCATTACTCAATAACATGACAACAAAATATGATGTATATTCTGAATTGAAAAAAGGATCTCTATAAATAATAATAAATAATAAATAAAAAGAAGAGAAAATGAACAAAGAAAAAATAGAGAGAAAAAAACAAAATAATACCATAACATACATAAAATTATACTGAGATTGAATAATAATCAAATAACAAAAAAATAATAAAAGAAAAAATGATTAACAAAAAATAAAACGATTAGTAAGCAGAGATTTAATGATATTTATAAAAATAAAACCATAATATATTCCAATTTTAATCCCAAATTATGGAAAAAATAAGTAATAAACAAGAATAATGAAAAAACATTGATATTACAAAAAAAATTAGAACCTCAGCCAATATCAAGTTGGAGGTTGCTGAATTTTTTGAGATTAGAGAGTGTTTATACTCTTCAGCCATCTCTACCATTTTACACGAAATAAGACTGCTCCATATTCTTCTTTTAGTTATAACCTTTATTTTTGCAGTTATTGACATTTGCAGTAAAAGTTGGTGTGCCTATTGCTAAATGATATAAGAAATATTTCCTTTGGTTCTAACATAAACGAATATTCTTTGCGATCACTTTCATTAGACCGAGTAGTTGTAATTTGGTCATCAAAATTAGATGATGAAAAATCTTCCGAGATAGCAAAGGAAAGACCTGAAGCTAGTCGTTGACTGTGAGTATCCATTAAAACTTTTTTAGACCTGAACTCTTTTTGAATGACTCTGAACTAAAAATAAAATATTTATTTCTTATTTGATAGAACATTTTTTTATTTTTACTAACTGTGGATCGTTTTTTGTTCTATGAATTTCTAAAATCAAAGGCATTATGAACTAATTTTTTCCTTGAATTTTCTTATTAAAACAGTCCATCCGTATGAAAGTATTTTGGCAATAAAATATAAACAGTGGACAATGTTTTAACTCTAACTGGGAAATGACAAACTAAGAGCAGACAAAGAAATACCCTTAATGATAAAGTAATGTAAACAATATTAATTAAGAAATATACAACAAATAAAAGTCATAACTTTTCAAATAAAATAACCACACACCAAGGAGTTTTAAAAAAGATACACCACCTATAGAACTTTAAATCAATGGTGCTAATAACATTTCTAACAATAACCAAATAATTTTACAACAATTAAACTGATGAAGTATTAATAGTAATAACAAAGACAATAAAATACACTACATCTCTTTAGAATAAAACAAAACGTAAAATGGAGTTGTAAACAAGTTCTTACGGTAGAACCAGAAAATTATAAGTTCTTTAAAACAATTATTAAATATTAATAATTTTTAGGTTTTTTATGATAATTTTCTAGTTTATTCAAAAAGAATAATACTTTGACTTTTAAAAATTAGTAATAATAATAGAATAAATACTATTAATTATTAAAACTCTGTTTTTAAATTTTTAGGGTTTTATGATGTTTTAATATTATAAAAAGATTTATAGTTTTAAAATTATTTTTAAAGTTTTCTATTTCATATAATTTTATTAGTTCGTCTTTCTTCTCAGAATTACCTAATTTTTTATGATAAATTAAATGTAAATAAATTCTATTTGTTTTTTATTGCTAATGCCTTTAAAGACTTCTTTATATGTTTGTTGAGTCTAACTAAGGACCGGTACTATGTCTATATAAAAAATTTAAGGAAACAATAAGGAAACTTTATATTTTTATTAGACTTTTTTTCAAAATGAAATCCAACGGTAAAAAGAATTTAAATTGGTTATTTTGTTTGTCATTCGTTAATCTCTTATTATTTCTATTTTTTGTTGCTCTTTTATTTTTATTATTTCTATTGACACTTCTAACTATTATTATCATTATTTCGTTATAGTATTGATGTTATTGAATATTGTATTTTTTATTCATTTATTTTTTTCAAATATCCATTGTTATTATTTGAATTTATTTTTTAACTATTCTATTTTTGGTTACTATGTTTATTAGTAGCAATTCATGTTTTAAATATTAGTGCATTTGTTATTTTATCAACACTTCAAATATCTCTCGTTTTATGATATAAATAAAGATTTAAAAAGTGATAAATATTAGAAAAATATTTTAATGTTATATTATATTTGATGATAATTCTCTTCAATAATGAAATAATAACATTTGATAAATTAACAATATTATATCCTTCATTATTTGAATGTACAAAATGGCAAATTTCATTTAATTAATAAAATTGATATTTCATTTGTTAATAATTAGTCTGATATGAATCAATAAAATAACAATTAGAATAACACAGATATCAAATGAAAATAATGCACCACAAATAAATATTTTAAAGTAAAATGAAATAATTCATATTCATTGATATTTATTATTTATTAATTATTAATAAAAAGAAGAAATAGAAGAAATATATTTTTAATATTCTTTGATAACAATTTTCAGTTCATCTAGACTTTGTTTTAATGTTCCCAATAAGTAATTAATACTCTCATTTATCGTTTTAATTATTTACAGAATTTAATTTATAATTACAACTATACAATGTTTTAGATATTTTTATAAATATAATTAACTTTCTTTTCTTGTTATTTAAATTATTTAAATATATGTAGTATCATTTTTGTTTGTTTTTAATTCAAATTCTTCTTTACATTACTTTTTATTCTTTTTTTTATATTTAGGTGAATGACTGTTCGTTGTATTTTGTATAATAAGAATATTGTGTGTTTAATTCATTTTTATTCTTCCAAATTTTGAAGATACTATTGTATTAAATTTA